AACCCCACTGCCCAGATCTGATGTAGGAGGCCATCTTTCCCAGTTCCAAGAATCCAAGTTCCAAGTTTCCTTAAGCAAATGCACACAGAAATCTGGTCACTCAAACCACACAAAATGTGGTAGTATTAACAAGGTTCAGCAACTGCTCTTCTGCCAGGGCTTTCATCTCTTACTGGAGGACACACAACTTGTAAGTTCTATAGAAGCTCTTGCCACAATTACAAGGGCGCCAAGAGGAGATTCCCGACACAGGATTCAGTGCAGATCCAGGAGAAGGGATCGTTGGTGCACACGTTTGGTCACTCACAGCAGGAAGGGAGCTGTGGTCAGAGCATGTGTGTTTTACAGCAGTTGTCCAGAAGAGTTAAATCCCAGGTCTATGGTGATACCAGGGCAGAACAAAAGGTTTGGAGACACTGTCAAGCCCAGGGCAGCTGCCCCCTTCTTCCCCTGCAACCCAAGGCAGCCATGGCAAAGACAGGGAATTTTCTGTTCATTTGCATTTGAGAGAGAGATTGGAGATCACAAGAGGGGAGGAAAAGCAGCTCTGGCTCCACAACAGAGACAAGGGATGTTTGCTTTGGATTTTATTGTTACTAATTGGAACTGACGTGTGAAGATAGTTGCGATTCTTGCAGAAAAAAAAGTCTAAGTCTTCCAGTGCTAACGTTGGAAATTGCACACTACTAAATAAAAAAAAAGGAGACGCTTCTTGTAAACTTGAACTATGAGGACACACCATATCGCTTTGTAATGTTATAGCAATATAGGGGCGTCCGCAACTAAATCACTGTGCTAGGATTTTATTCCTCTAGAGGCCTAGGCAAAAGGCCCCAAAACACCTTATACACACAGCTGCAGAAGGAGATACACGAGAGAGCCCGTAGGTAGCACGTCAGTAACTTTGCAAAGTAAAAAGGATTAGGAAAGGGTGCCCAAAACAGCTGCAGGCAGAGTTGAGCACTGAGCACAGCGCAGTGCTCAGCGGGTGTGATGCACCCAGCTGACAACACGGAACAGACCCTTGCATGATCCCCCTAAAACGTGGTGCAAGGTCTCAGCTCCTAAGTGACAGGGACGGCAGGAGCTCAGGTGTCACGTTAAGGAGCACAGAAGGCCTGGTCAAAGTGACAGGCTGCAGTGCCGTGGCCAGGAGCATCCGTTTATCTCCTCTCTTGCAAGCTGCAGAAGGGCCAAGCAGTCCAAACCACCCCTGCAAAAAGGTAAGTGAAACTAAGGAACCTAACTGAGAGCCAGAGCTGAATAAGGGCCCATTAATAGTGACTGGGAAAGGCTTGTTCCAGCAGACACCCAAAATAAGTGTCCGGCAGAGGTTGTTTTAAAGAGGCCACTCCCAAATAGCTGAACGGCAACCAGGCATGAAAAGAGCCTGAGTTAGAGCTGTAAAACCACACTGGTTTGTCAATATTAAAGCATCTAAACAGTTTCACTTTTAAAATGCCACTATTCCAACATCTTTTCTTTGGGGAATATATTGTTAGAGTGAGTCATTTTAAACTGCACTGAAACAGCAAGGCTGGAACAAGAGACATAACAGATTGAATCCTCAAACCTCATATTTTTAAAATAAGTAACACTTGTGACAGCATGCATGCAAACTCCACTAGTGTTTTGCCACAATTAGTTTTCAGCCTGACTCTTACTGCTTTTCTTTCACAGACAATGTATATTGAAAAGGATTTAATGGATTCTTTCTCTCCCATAGTTTTCTGCAGCTTCAGGAACAGCAGAGCCATCTAAGTCTCATCCGACCACAAATAGTTCAGGGGCCAAATGACACACCGCCCCACTGACACAAAGAGAATCAGTATTTTTAACTAGTTACCTCAGTATCAAAGCACCAGCCTCTAAGTGACATAAAGAAGAAAAAAAAATGTTGACCAGTTTCAGAAAGGTATTTTCACTATTTGCACTGGTATATAATCAAAGACAGATGTAAAGATGAAGATGCAATACACAGCTAGGCTCAAACATGTAAATAAACCCATCCATCAAGGAAAAAACAAACAAACAAACAAGAAACAGCAAACCATGTCAATCTGCCTCAGTATCTTAAAACTGTATATTTATAACCAATATGGTATCAGGAGAGAGTTTACTGGGCCCTAGTTTTTTGGGCTGTTTAGATGCCTACAGAGAATTGTCATGGAGAAGCATTGCTTTTATTTTTTTTAACCACCTAAATTCTACTCTGTACATCTGGTCCTGTTGGCTAGTGGTTTTTTTGTTTGTTTCATTGACAATACTGGAAATATTCATCACACTATTTGGAATGTATGCTGCTTTTATCACTAATACATGGCACATGAGAGATTATGCCAAGCAAACAAGCAGAAGGAAGCTGCATACAAACAGCTCGAGTTTTGGGGTGCACTACGTGTACTTTTCTCTCAGGGGTGACTCCAGCTAGTGCCACAAACTCCTCCAGAAGAAAGTCATCATGCAGACAGCAACCACAGAGCTTGTACCCACGGCTGCTGAGCTCCTCGAAGGAAGCAATGCCAGCACTGCTGATGAAAGCACATCCGGAATGTCAAATTGCCTTGCAGCTGTCCAGGATCTAGATATTGCATATGTGATACCACCACGCTTGCCCAAGCCTGGCAGAGTACATTCTGTTTCACTGGCAACAGCTCCCTTGTGCATATGATTGCTAAAGGCAGAAGATTTCCTCTCAGAGCATCCGAACAGCTTAATCCTGTGTGTTCATATTTTAAACATTAATTTTTAATGCAATCAGTTCTGTCACTCAAAGAATTCTAAGAGCAATATATCATGAGAACTACCCCTAGAAAGTAGGAAAGCAAACAAGGAGGGAAATGGAGAAAAAGCAATTACACATTCCATTTTTGGTGTCCAGTACAGACAGCACCCAGTCTAGCCAGTTTCTAGCACGAAAGTGAACAAAAAGCAAAAACAAAATTGGTGAGTTATACCCCACTGGCATAGCTGGAAAGATGCTGCCTGGAAGACTAAAGCAGAAAAGGAACTCAAGGTAGGAACAGATTTGCATCTATTCCTATATAGGCGCCCTCCAGGCCATAGGGATGAAGTGGGCAGATGTACATAGCGACTACTCAAAAGTTAGCACACATATATCTAATCTTACATCTTTGCTCTACAGTCCTCCTGTGCATAAGAAACCTCAAATGCCATAAAGCTCATTCTCTACCAAGAAGAAATTCCATGCAATGAAGAGCAGCTCCTATAGAAAATAAAACCTGAAGTGGAGACTGTCACTGCACGGCCCTAACTACAGGAATGGAGCAGGAAGCCACCAGAGCAAGCTCCTGGACATTGTGTGATCTTCTGCCAGAAAGATGATTCTCTCAGGAACCTATTGGAAGCTACTATATAGACTAGGAATGTCAGCTTCACAAGTCACAGTAGGTTCCCCAAAGGCCAGCAATCCAAACAAAGACTTGCCAGGTTCTGTTATTGGTTTGCTTTTTGCACCAGCAAGATCCAATCTTTGATGTAAAAAGTAATGATGAAAAGTAATCCAGTGGCCAAAGATACTGGGGAGTCAAAGCTGAGAAATCTTTTCCTTAAGTTCTTTAGAGTATCTTGTGTCATTCATTTATCTTGAGCAGGAAGAACAGCTGTATCCATTAAAAACATTTGGACTCTGATCATTCTTGAAGCTACAATGAATTATTGCAACCTGTGCCTTGATGGACACAGAGGTAAAGATGAGAAGAGTGGAAGACTCGGGGCCAAAGTTTTGAAGCAGAACCAGATGCATTGCTAGAAGTCAGCAAGGAACCCAGAGGCCACCAGAAGGAAAACCAAGGTTTCCTAAATAAAGGACTAATCCAGAATGGGTGGCCTAGAGATGGAAGATGTCCCCACCTCAGGCAAGCGAGTCCAGAGCCCTGACACCAAAGAAAAGCACCATGACTGCAATGGAGAGAAAGCCACAGAACTGTGCTCAGTGCATCCTATATATCAGCGAGGCAGCGGCTGGTGCCAGTGGAAGTGTCAGCAGAGGCAACCACGGCCTCGAGGGGACCATCATGTTCTCAGCAGGCACAGTGCAGGGCAGCCTCTTGAAAAGTCCAAAGCAGATGACCAAAAAGGCATTTCCACATCAGAAACCTATCAGAAATGGACTTTCAGAAGGGCTAAGTACAACCAGAGGATGAACTGATGCCTCTTTTGCTTCTTTCTACCTCCAACCGGAGCTTTGAACAACAGCAAGTTCAACAGGTACATGAGATGCGTGCGAGAGGTCCTTGAGGACCTTGGTGTCCCCAAGAGGTTCTGGAGGAGCTTGGTGTCCCCATGAGGCCTATGGGGACCCTGGTGTCCCCATGAGGTCCTTGAAGACCCTGGTGTCCCCATGAGATCCTTGAAGACCCAGGTGTCCCCATGAGGTCCTGGAAGACCTTAGTGTCCACAAGAAGCTCCTGGGGACCTTGGTGTCCCCATGAGGTCCTGGAAGACCCCGGTGTCCCCATGAGATCCTGGAAGACCCAGGTGTCCCCATGAGGTCCTGGAAGACCCCGGTGTCCCCATGAGATCCTTGAAGACCCAGGTGTCCGCATGAGGTCCTTGAAGACCCTGGTGTCCCAAAGAGGCTCCTGGAGACCTCGATGTCCCCATGAGGTCTTTGAAGATCCAGGTGTCCCCATGAGGTCCTTGAGACCTTGGTGTCCCCATGAGGCCTATGGGGACCCTGGTGTCCCCAAGAGGCTCCTGGGGACCTCGATGTCCCCATGAGGCCCCTGGGGACCTCAGTGTCCCCATGAGATGTTAAGGAATCCACGTGGGAGTGAGTCATTGTGAATGAAAGTTACAGGAAACCAGACTTCAGTTCCACTGCTTGCTGAGTTACTGTCATTTTTAACCAGACCTAGACTGCTAGAAAATGCACAGGCTACTTCCTTCATATATTATGAAGCAGGATTATATATTCAAATTCAGCCCATTAAGTTGTTCATTACTAAAAATAAGGAGTGTCTGAAGCCCCAGCCCTCTGAATTCTGAGTGCTCTTCATAAGTGCATGGTGTCCCCATGAGGCCTATGGGGACCTTGGTGTCCCCATGAGGCCCCCGAGGACCTCAATGTCCCCATGAATGTCACCTCCTCTCACAGGCTACGCGTCCGAGTGGCTGTCGCTGGGGGACAAGCGAGCGGTGGCCTTAGGGGCCCCCCGTTACCAGCACGTGGGGAAGGTCCTGGTGGCCCTGAGGGAAGGGCCGGGGACATGGACACCAAGAGCGTAAAAAAAAGTAGAAATAAGGACTGAAAAGGGAGAAAGTCAAAGATTACCATAGGAATGCTTAGAAACTACAGTTTACATCCTTAGGAGATCAATATCCAGCTCTATGCATAGATAACTTCCAATTCTGCCACCAGCACAAGTTTCAAAAACCAAGGTTGCAGCTGAAAAATTTAATAGCAATGGTAAAACTCTTAGAGATGTTTATTAATCATAAGGGAACAAAAGGGGCACAATTCCAGATAATAAAAAGCAACACAAAACTGACCTTCCCGATTTTTCTGAAAAATCTAATAGAATAGCAGCTGACGTCATCTAATGCTAACTTTCACATTTAAGTGAAGAAACAAGGTGTGAGGGAAAAGGACCAGTTACCTCCACAGTTCTGAACTTTACATCATATGTTAAGATACAAACTTCATGACCAGCCCCAAACTGCTAAAAGCAGTAATGGAATCAACATTCCCAGAAATATATGACACATTTCTAAAAACTGATGTTCTTAAATGAACTCTCCTGGAATATCAACATCACAATGATCAAAAATTTTGCTAGCAATAGGAGAAAACTAGACTTTGGCAACCCAATTCCCCAGGAACTGCGGGGGATATACACTTACTGGAACATGAACGCATTGAATCTGAATTTAGACAGCTTTATTCACACAGATTTATATTGCAACGGTATTCTGGGCAAGTATAATGAAGATATTGTTTTCAAAGTGGATATTGTTTAATCTGCTTTACCTGGCAGTATAAAACACACTTTCCAAGTATGAGTATCTCGTAACTGGAGTAGCAAAAAGGATCTGGATTATCAGAAATAACATAAGATTTAAACATATGCATGTATGTATAGAAACCACAGCTGATACGGTCAAACACAAGCATAGACAGGACACCAGGGCATCCCATGGTACAAACCCAGAACTAATTCTATGATTCTATGATTCTAATAATGGTCTCTCCCTCCTTTAGTTACAAATTAAGGACCACTGAGTTCTGAGAGATCATCCACTACCTATTCAATGCCCTGCCCAGGGGGGAATGAATGAGAGGGGGAAAAAGGTCATCCCATGGTACAAACCCAGAACTAATTCTATGATTCTATGATTCTAATAATGGTCTCTCCCTCCTTTAGTTACAAATTAAGGACCACTGAGTTCTGAGAGATCATCCACTACCCATTCAATGCCCTGCCCAGCCTTAATGAGAGGGGGAAAAAGCCTGCAGAGATGGAAGGGGGAAATGCAAAGGTGAACTAACCTGCGCTAACAAGGACAGAAAATATTGTTATGCTGGACAGCTTAATATGAACTATTATACTCGTTTGTCATATTCCTAAAAAAAGGAAAGCCAAGAACATTATCGTTCAAACTTGAAATAAGACTCTAAAAAGACCACTGTCAACCATGATTTTTAATATTCTCAAACAGCTGATTTTGCCATAGGTAATATATTTATAGCATGTAGCCACAATACACTGAACTGTGCTTCCAAAAGATATTAGTATTAGGCAATGTACGCGAGGTAGCTTGTGAAACACAAAAATGCAAGATTGAAACTTACAGTATTTAACAAAATCCTTCTGAAAATCTTTCCTAGAATTGACAAAGGCTCTTCCTCTCTCACTTCCAACTACAAACACATCTGTTTCATATACAGCAATACAGGCAACTTCTGCCTTGGACTTGGCAAGTTCTTTACACTACAAAGAGAAAAAGAAGAAAGCTTTGATTACCATAGTTAAAAGTGTAGTTAATGAAAAAGTACACAGAATCAAGTAAAACAGTTTATTACTTTTGCAGCCACTGTTCATCCCTCAGAAGGTGCTGCAAGTCATCCCACATCATCTATCAGGCAAAAAATCATTTTTACCTCTCAAGTGATTTTCATCAGGAATTTTATACAATCTCAGAAGCATTAATGAAATTAAGACTCTGTTTAGACCTGGCAATTGTACTGCTTTTAATTAAAACGATTTAAGTCAGTACACTGGAAATTACCACTTCTTGCTGACATCTTGAATGCTTTATACCAATTTCAGCTTTCAACATAGCATGTATGAGTTTTGCCTGCTCACAGCACACTCCTTTCCTAGAAACAACCAGGTGTGTTCTGCTGGGAGAAACTTCCAGCAGCAGGCAAGTAAGGCAGAAAGGCTGCACCACAAGAGAAAGCCAGCAAGATCATCACGAAGTAACCACAGAAATTCCACTTCTAGGATTCAGATGACAGTTTGCTGCAACCTAGAAAGACACCAGTAGTTTCTGCTCTGAGAGAAAAGCCTGACACACAGGGCTGCAGGAAGAGACTATGTCCATTGGGAAAAAGAGCTTGAAGCCAACTTTCTTATTTTATAACTGTACCACTCTAAGTTCCAGTGCTGAAAAAAGAAAAGCTTGTTCTTATTTATTCATTCTATTCTATTCATTCTGCAGAGAATGAAGTCTTTAAGTGTTCCAACTTTAAGGAAACAGTGCAAGCACTTTCCCCTCAAAGTTCTGACCAACCTGAGGTCTTACCACACAGTGGGACTACATTTCCACAAAACAGGAGATATGCCAACTTAAATACATGCATTTTCTGAACAAACCTTGTTGAAATGATATAGCATCAGAGGACAAGACAACATCAACCTCAAGACTGGTTATGCTTCCATTTTACAGATGACAAAGTGAAAAATTAAATCTTTTAATTATCCACGCTTAGGGACATGGTTTAGCAGGGTTGTGGTGATGGGTTTATGGTTGGACTCAATGATCTAGAAGGTCTTTTCCAACCATAATGGTTCTCCTCCTTCTCCTCTGATCAATCAAGAAGCATTTCCAGTTTGTTCATTTGACCAAAAAATTGTCAAAACAATCAAAGCACAGCGAGAAACAAGGCGGCTGTCAAGATCACTCTTAACAGAGATTTCCAGGAGCAGGATCTCAGTAATAGGCAATTAAGTAGCACACTCCAAGGTTCAGGTATAATATTACACGTCTCCCCTCCCCAGCGATACTGGTGTAATCTCCACCAAGAGATGTGTGCCAAGACAGGCGTGTGACAGTTGCTTCATGTCTCTACTAACCATTGACTCAAGTGCCGACACGAGAAACTTAACCACCATTCTGCTTTCCAAGGGGTCCTCATCGTGGATGGACGTTGTGGGTGCCGTAGCTTGGGCCATTTTCCCCCCTATAAAAAGAAACATAAAACCTGTTCAGATAAACACAGCAGTGCAAGCAAACTAAATCCTCTCTTACATAAATAAACAAGGGGATAAAGCCCTTCGAAAAAACAGAATCCCCCAAATGAGCAAACATACAGAGAAAGTGATAGAATGAAATATTCCGTTTTCTACTCTTTTAGACTTCCTGCTGTTTCCTTCAAAGCCAGAAGCAAGTGTTCAAAAGTTACAATGCTGTATCATGATGAGACCACAAACCCTTTGTGCCTATAGAGATGCATATTAATCGATTAGGTGAAATTATTTGTTTTTTCTTCCTAAGCATGCTTGCAACTCCAGAAGTTTAGATAAGCACTGCAAAGAAAAAAATCCTGTAAAGGTCAGTGATACAGTAACGAGATAGCATAACATGAGGAATAACAGAAAGATGCAGTTATGACATAGGTATTAGAACAACTTCCCTATAATTTACAGCATACTTTTATCACAGGGAGGAAAAAAAATACATAGCAG